TCATGCTTAAAGGTTAGGGGGTTGAAATCCCGTCTCAAAGAGAAAAACTAACTTGATCCTCATCTCACAATTAGTCCCCATGTTTGGGGTTTGTTCATATTGGGTTATCCATTTTTGGTGGATTAGCCCAATAGAAGCCCATGAAATTTTATTAGAAATATGAAAAAATTTGGGTACCTAAGTGTAATATGCTTTGGACCTTTGTGTGCACTTTTCATTGTTCAATTTGGCGTTTTTGGTGGGAATAATTTTTAGCAACTCCAGCACGTTCAAGAATGCGTGCGTGTGTGGAGGTCAGTTGAGCATCCTGTATAAGAGAGTACAGTATTATGTTTGCACTCTTCTACTATCTCTATATGTACAAATAGGGATGAGCATTCGAAAGATTTGATCAGTTTTGGTTTTAATTTTTCTAAGACCGACCAACCAAATTATATAAAAACTTTAGATTGAATTAAATCGAAATACATAATCGAATTGAATTAAAATTGAACTGAATTTTAATGATTTGGTTCAATCGGTCTATTCAATTTATGAGCTTTGATTTGGATTTATACAATTTAATTGTTCATATATTCTTCTATCCAATTTTTTTTCCTCGATGTTGAAGGCCCAATGAAAAAATAACAATTTTATATCATAATTTATGATAAAATTAATAAGACTCAGTACTATTGCATTAAAAAACTAAATTATAGAAATAAAAAAATTAGAACATCACATTAAACCAAAAAAAAATACTATTACTGCAAGTAATAGAAAGATATTTTTTACTCACTAGATGAGAATTTATTCACATTTTCAAAAATATGAAAGGAAAATTATGGATAATTCGGTCGGTTCAGTTTAATTTAATTCTTGAATTCTCAAATCGAATCAAACCGATCAACTAAAATTTTCATTAAAAGAAAACTGAATCAAATTGAAAAACTGAATAGACCGAATCAAATAGATAAAATTCAATTTAATTTGATTTCGATTCGATTTTGCTCACCTCTAGTACAAACTCTCATTTTTCCCTCCCTCTTTGCCTTCTCTTTCAAGATGTGTGTTTGTTGTGTAATTAAAACTAAATCTGAATCCATGACTCTCTTTTTCATTGGTGGTCACTCATCCAGTACAACATAACAGGTAAGTCTTCCTCTTTCAAAACTGACAATTCATCACTCAAATTAAGGGATGATTAGATTTGTAATCCTTTAAATGAAGGATTGTTGTATTGTTTGTAATTATTGTTGTTGATTAATGAAATGTTTCTCCATCAATATTCTTCATTCTTAGATTTCTTGGCACAGTTAAACCACAAATGCTTACAATATGCATCAGTGAAGTAATTACTTTGTGTTGCGAAGTTGGATCCAAAATGATTGCTTGAAATCTGACTTGTTTGGATCGTTGGCTTCTTGAATAATGTTTTAGGGAGTTGCATGAAGTTTGTTATTAGTTCTAAAAGGAATTTAATCAGCGGAAAGTTTGAGATTTTGGTTTTGAAACCAAACCCTAGAGTGAAGTATTAGAATTTTGGGTTTTTATGATGTTTGATACTGGAAACCTTTGATTGATTATTATGAATAGTCTTAAAATACCTATTACATTAAGAATGTGTTTAAATTGCGAGTTTTGATGAGTTCATTTTTGGACCATTTTCAGAAGAAAAAAAAAAGGCTGTTTTTGGTTTGTGCAATTTGAACCTTGTTTGATTTCAACTATATTATTATTTGCTTTTATTATACTCTGCTCAAGATACACTCTTATTTAATGAAATTTTGAGTATGTTGGTTGACCGTAATTTATACATGTTTTATTGTGATTCTAAGTGTGTAAATACTAAAAGGATGTGTTGCATTGCATTAGTCTTGAATTTACTGTTTAATACTAAATTGGATTGTATGATTTAGTAAGTTAAACTATGCTTGTGATAATTTTTTTGTGTAGTACTCTTTAGGTATGGCTGTGGAAGTAATTTGATTTGTTTACAACTTGGCATTTTGTTAATGATTTTACATTTTGATCTTATGAGTCTGAATTGTTTGGATGATTTATGCATTCATTGGGTCTGATATTGTGTGAGCATTTTTTGGATCTTGATTCTATATGACTATTTGTTTGTGGGCTTGGGCTTCAATGTGTAAGGGCCTAAGGGTAGTTGGTATTCACTTTGAAATTAACTAATAATAATCGTTTTAATTTTTCCCTTTTCCGCCAAATTTTCAAAGATTGATGTTTATTTATAAAATCTAGTTTATTTATTTGCTAGTAAATTTTAGGGTGTTAAACATATGTACATATGTATTTAAAATCATTTTTTATTAAAAATAAAAGTTATTCAAAAATTTAGTAACTCAATTAAAAAACAATACCCATCTAGTCTAGATAAATGGTATTTTGTTGGCGTTTTGTTCATTTGGGAAGAAATTATGACAGCTACTTTTAACCAACTTCATTAATCCACGTAAATTAGTTATTTAGTTCTTATATGGGAGACCAAATATCTATTTTATTGGTAATTATAGTTTATTGCATCAATGGATCTTACACTTGGGGAATATAAAAGTTAAAATTTACGAGAACTTTTACAAGTCACTTTGCATAAAAGGTGAACCATTAAATATTTTCTTTCAATTTTATCATTTCACGATTTTGATAAGTAAAGAGTGAAAAGTTACTAGAAGGAAAAATTATTTTTTAAAAATAATACATTTAATAAGGATAAAATTAAAAAAAAATCTGACAACATCAATAGTTTAATTACATTTCAATAATTTTAGTAAAATAGTTAGAAGTGATTTATAAATAAGATTAAGTTGAGTAATATGTTATGTATTGAGCCAACAAATAATAAATTTAAAAATTGATTTATTAAGTCCCATTCAAATAATTCAATCACAGCTATGTAGTGTTACATTCGCCACATGAAGCTTGGGCTAGAGATAAGGGTGAGCAAAAAAAAAAATGATCAAATCAAATCAATCCAAACCAATTCAATTAAAATAAAAAAATAGATCACTGGTAAGGTTTGATTTGGTTTTCTAAATTTAAAAATTGAATGATTTGGTTTAAGTTTTAATTTTTGTTTTTTGAAACCTTAACCAAATCTAAACCATACCTTTTTATATTTTTAAGTGTATTTTTTATAATTAATATTAGACTATTAATTAGCATTTATTATTTTTAAAATTTTAACCTCAACTGAAGTCTAGTCCAAGTGCAAAATACTTTCATAACCTTACTTTTATTAATTTTGCTAATTGCTTTCAGAGTGAAATATGGTCCAAACTAACAAAAGGTGTATTGTTATTGTTGACTAAGGAGAATCAAATATTTTATTACATGCTACTAAAACATGTTTCTTTTTTATTGATTTAAAATAAGTTTTTTTTTTCATTATAGACATTATGATAATTTGTAATGAAATTTAACTCATGTTAATGTTACTTATAATGAATATACTCTGATGTTTATTAATAACACAATTTGGATATTTTTATTTTTAATATGATATTCATTTTTATTCATAAATAATAAAGTTGAAAATATGACTTGATTTTATAATATAAAAGAAAAAAAGAGTCAAAAAAATATTAAAACTTAATCCATGTATAAACCAAATTGACTTTAATAAAAAATAGATCAAGTTTCATTATTTGTGCAAACTGATTAATTTGATTTGGTTTATGTTTTAATCAAAATCGAACCAAATTATACTTTTGATTATCCTTTGCTAGAGATGCTCATGTTGAAGACCACTCTTTATGTATCTATTTTGAAGTTCCTAACGGCTTGTAAAGGATATTTACATGAGGGAAAGACCCAGCTACCAACCTGAGAGTTTATTAAAAAAAAAAAAACATTCAAATCAACGACATTCCGATGATAAAGAATAAAAGAAACTATGGCCCAGGTAAATATAAAGTAACTAGGTACCTTTTTTTTTTTTTTAACCCCTTTACATTGAACTAAATATGAAGAATGAGTAGTGTTCATGATTTCTTCTTGGATTCAACTTCGCGAAACATCGGGTTAAAAAAACTTAGGCAAACAAAACAGAAATGAAATACCCTTTTACATTTAGCATCTTAAAATACAAAATATTTTTTAAAAAAATAATATTTTATTAATAATTATTATTTCAATATTATGCCTCCCTATTTCAATCATTAAGTAATTTTTTCACTCTTTGTTATTAATAAAGGGTAATTTAAAAACTCATAAAAAATAAAATTACACTCCTTCCTTTTAAAGTATTTTTTATGAGTTAAATGTTTAAATATGTAAAACAATTTTAATTTTTTGAAATGTAATCATTATCTTTTTTAAAAGTACTCCTATTGATAAATAATATTTAATTTAAAATAAATAATATTTTATTAATTAAATTAATAAAAATATTTTAATTTAAATAAAAAAATATAAAATTTTAAAATATTTTAATAAAAAAATATAACCAAACTATAAATTCAGATAAAGAGAATATAAGAAAATGGGATAAACAAACATAACAGAAATGACAGGGGAACAGAGCATAAAACTTCCCCTCCTTTTCATTGCTAATCCCAAGAACCACCTAATCTATTCTGACAAAATCATCATCCTAAGTCTCTTCACACAGCTGTCAGATAGGATTCCCATACAACTTCAAACATTGTAATTCAAATATTATAATTTTATAACTACACATTCTTACATTGCAGGAGTATAAAATTAATAATAACAATAATGCCTATACATTATTAATAAATAATTTCAATCCCATAAAATAATCTTGTGTCCACCATAATGGTCTTTCTAAAAAAGCAAAAGTCAATCATGCTCAACTTGCATTCACAACCTTGCACAATCATGTGAAATAGATCCTCTTTCAGATTTGTTCTCCACATTCAGATCATTTTTTCTTATTAACCCCACAACTTTACTCATAATTACAACCCTCCCCTCAATTGCCATTTGGAGGATAAGCTATTCTTCAATATTCTCTGTTTTTTAACTAACCGACAAGCACATTTTAATCAGTAAAATTTAAATAATATATAATTAATTAAAACACCGTATCTAAAAAAATATACATTTTCTCCAAAACTTACAGATAACAACTTAAACCAGAACAGAGTACTCTGTTTCTTTTCTTCTGACATGAACTCAACCCTTTTATAGGACCTAAAAACTTCGACATACGCTTAATCGAAACGAATTGATGAGACCTACCCCTCATATCCGCCGGAACATTCTGTCTCCGTTCACCGGAAAATCATAGAACACGAACTACCTCGATCTGTGCTTACCAGGCCTTGTTCTGTGACCGTTGTCCCCTGTTCTCCCGAAAGCGCCGCAAAATCCACAAGCAGAGAGCTTTGGAGACGGCGGCTCAACTGCCGGAGACACTTTTCCGGTCCGGTACCCCCGTCCGCCGCCGGTTGAACGACTACGGTCAATCGTATTGATTGGTGGGACGCTTGTGCCTGCGTTAAGTTCTTTAATCTCAGACTTTTCACGGTCGTCTTCTTGTTGCTGTTTTTCGTTTTCATCTTTCTGGTTGGCTCTGTTCAACTCTTCTGATAAGAACCTGTCGTCCCAGACGAAGCCAGATGAGCCTTGTCTTCTGAAAGAGACTGCGGATCTTTGAAGACCAGCCATGGAAGAGATCTTGGAAGCTTTTTGTGAGTTTTATTACTATTTGTTGGTGAGGAAAGAGAAAAGCAGGGGAGAGTTGTTGAAGAAGATGAAAGGAAAAGAAGAGAAGTGGTTTATGTAGGAAAGGTCAAGCAAGTCTTTTGCAATATTGGTGACCAAGTCAATGTGTTGTGCCATTTTATAATCTTTAGTTGCCTTCGGTGCGTAAAACAGTAAATTACAAGTTGTTTTTTTTATTTTAAAGTTAAGGTGTAATTTTATTTTTTAATTATTTTTAAGAATATAATATTGTTCTTAAATTATTTATTATAATAATGTTATTATAAATTAATCAAATAAAAATAATGTTGTTCTTGTTATTTTAACATTTATTATTGTAGCTAGTAAGAGTCACTTTTCATAAATTATGATGTAATTTTATTTTTAAATTATTCTTAGAGGAGTCATGTTATCCTTATCATTTAAAAATCATAAAGTTACATAAAAATAAAATTATAATAATATTAACTAAAATAATATTAAATGTATATATAAATATAAAATTATAGTAATATTACATGTATATATAAAAAATATAAGAAAAAAATTTATAGTATGTTAATAAAATATCATAAATTAATAATATTATAAATTATAATTTTATAACTCATCAAATATAATTAAATCTTAATTAAATTAGATATGAGTAGATTCAAAAGTATTTGCATTTACACCCATAACTATTGACAGGAGGCGTTGTTAACGACTCGATTTAGATCAAAAATTATTTTTATGAATAAGTTAGATTGGACAAGAGTTAAACTATTCTTAAGTCGAAAACTAAAGTTGAAATGAGAACTCGAACGGTTTTTAAAAAATTAGATGATTTTAAATATAACATTAAAAAAATCTTAAAAAATTTTAAAAAATAAAAAAATTTAAAAATTAGATCCTACTAAAAGTCAACTTTATTTTTTAATAATTTATATGTATAAAATATGATTTGAAACCATTTTTTATAAAGATGTCGATAGTTATAGGTGCAAATATAGAGATTTTTGAGTCTACTGAAATCTAATTTAATTAATATTCACTTATATTTGATAAGTAATAAAATTATAATATATATTTTTTCTTATATTTATTTTATACAGACATTTAATATTTTTTTTATTTAATATTATTATAATTTTATATTTATATACAATTTAATATTATTTTATTTAATATTATTACAATTTTATTTTTATTTAATTTTATAATTTTTAAATAGTGAGGGTAACACTACTCTTCTGATAATAGTTTAAAGATAAAATTACACTTTAATTTATGAAAAACGGGTCCTATTAGCTACAATAACGGATGTTTAAACCGAAGGAGCAAAATTGCTCTGATTTAATTAGTTTATAGATAACATTACTATCATGAATAGTTTAAGAGCAACATTGCTCTTGCAAGAATAGTTTAAGAGCAAAATTATATCTTAACCCTTTAATTTATTTATTTTAAATCTAAAGCACCCTAAATTCGAAAACTACATTTAATTTCAACTAACTGAAATTGAGTTGGGAGTAATTGCATATCTAATATCTGAACACGAGATTACTGATTAAGCTATCTACTATCATGTTTTCTAATAGAGACACACACTCGTTAGTGTGCAATTTAAATATCATAAGAATTTTTTTAATTTAAATTCAAATTAATTGATAGTATTTGATAGAGAATATTTGATTTTTAAAAATATTTTTCCAGTTGTGATTACCATGTAATTAGTGAAGGTTTTTTTAATTGTTTTCGTGGTAATTATAAACATTTTTTTCTATGATTAATTCTTTTTCACATTTCAAAAAAACCGCTTCTTTGCCATTGACTTATTCTAGTGGCACCAAGACACCTTGAATAGGACAGATTGCGAGTTCAAATTAGTTAGTAGTTAGTGTTCTGATAAATAATGTGGAGTGTGTGTGGACTTTTCTATGGAAAAAGTGTAGGGTGTGTGAGTAATTTTTTTTAAAAAAAACTTCTTTACTTTTGTGAAACAAGATGTTGGATACACGGAATTGATGCTTAGAAAAAAATTAAATAGAATTTGATAATATCCTAATGGTGTATATGCATATACATACAATAATCTGGATTAATTCTTAATTAGCAGTGACACATGAAAATGTTGATTCTTATTTAGTTGATTTTTTATTTTAACTCGTTGGAGTTAACCTGCTCCTAATTAAATTGAGCCTCACAAAGGTTCATGCATTGTGGAGGGGCTCTCCAATGATGATTTCTTCAATGATCATATTAATTGTTAGCCTATTTCGCTAGCCAATTAAAATTAAAATTAATTGTAATTCTGATATTATAATTGTGGGATATATTTTAATCCCTTATGAACAATCCTCTTATATCTTCAGCTATTTTAACTGCCAGATGGTTCCTAGAGTAGAGGCTAAATATGTTATACAGCGCTTGAGTAGATTTGGAAGAACACTTTCATTCTTATGTAACCTTAGTTCCAACAATGGTTACGAAGAAATTCTCTCAATCCCATCATTTTCATAACAATAGCAAAGAGGTAGTCTAGTTTCTTCAAGAATCTGTATCTCCAATTACTATTCTCATATCGAACCAGACCACCACAAGTTGTTAGTCTTTTTGTGTTAATTGATGGATCAACATTTTTTTTTTTTAGTGTAGACTATGGTTTGATTCCTAAATTTAAAGCTGATAAGTTGGGCAAGGTGGGCTTATTCGAGCCAGCTTATTTAAATTAAACTTAAATTATCATACTCTTTAAAAAAACTCAAATAATTAAGCTCAACTCTAACTTTTTTTAGGTGTGTTCAAGCTAACCCATCTGGTTTAACCTGAATTACTGACTCTGCATACATACAGAGGTAATATTTTTGACAATTGACCTTATTTGGGCCGAGTTTAAAATATCTTACTTTTTAAAAAAGCCTATATAATCAAGTTCAACTCTAACTTTTCTTGAACAGGTTCGGCTTGACCCGTCGTGCTTAACCCGAATTACCAGCTCTGCTTAAACCGTATGTATAGAATATCATTTGTTGAGACTTGGGAGATGTCAACCTCTTAAATAAAACCCTAGTACCTCACAAAATTAGTCCCATGCACTTGTGCTGGGGATGTCCTGTAGAAAGCTAATTAGTTAGTTTTTTTAATATAAAAACCAATTAGATTGTTTTAAGTGGAAACAAATAAGAAAAGTGAAGCGAACGGAAGATCAGAGTTGGCTCCATCAAATCAGCCAAACACAGCGAAGGCAATACGTGCGGGTTTTGATAAAGAGAGAGGGAGCTTTTCATGTGCTTGTTTCATGTGTTTGTTGCAATATAACATCACATCATTGAATCTTCATATCGTTTATATAAATATTGTCCGCAGAGACATCTATACATGACATTATACGTTTTAACAATTATCGAGGCTACTTTTTTTGGCAAGTAAATGTCCATTATCAAATTATAAATGTGTTGGATTTAAGAATATTTTATAAATTTTATGTAACTTTTAAATGATAAATTATTTTTTGTGAGATTTAAGTGTAACTTTTCTTATTTTTTTTAAATAGTTAGAATTTATTTTTAAGAATCAAAATGAGTGATATATCAATATGCGATTGAGTCCCACAGTTACAAAAAGGAATAGCCATTTTTGATTTTTCTCCAACTAAACAGTAATGTTTCAAGCATTCAGAACTTATAAGTTAAAGAGAATTTTTACATATTTTAAAAGTTCATGATTCAAAATATTATTTACGCAATAGTTTTAAGATTTAAGATTTTCATTAACCATTTTTTAAATATATATTTAAAACTTATTGTCATTTATATTTTAAAAAATATATAAAATAATATAAACTAAATTTAAACGATTTAACATGTTCATATATATATATATATATATATATCAAGTCTTCTTTCCCAGACAAAAAACTAATCTCTAATATAAAAAATGTAAATGCAATTTCTACCAAAAAGAAAAAGAAAAATATAAATACAATATTTAATGCTGGCGGAGTCAATTTAAAGGACCTCAACTTTCATCGGATAAGAAAAAATACAATCAAAAACCCATACTCCCTCTGGTCCCTGAAAATACATTCAACCACCTCGTCAAAATAAAATAAAATAAAGTATTTAAGTTATTAACTTTATTGAAAATAAAATAAGCTTCTAATTTTACTTTATTTAAATTATTTTTTAAATTTACATTATATTCTATTTTATAATTAATGAATTTAAATAAAAATAATATTACAACAACAACAATAGCCTTATTAGCTGAGGTCGGTTACATAGATTATACGACACCATTGTACTCTATCATTTATTAAGATTTTAAAAATATTATTAATTAGAAGATTTTCATTAATAACTTTTAAAAGTGTTCCCTTTAACCTTCACCAGCCCTTTTTGACATTGCTCAAAATTATATGTTCCACTCTTCTCACAGGTACCTCATGTGGTTTTCTTTGTACATGTCCAAACCACCTTAAAAGATTTTTTAACATTTTTCCTTTAATAGATGTGACGCCTACTTTTTCCTGTATGTTTGCACATCTGTCTCAACATTCTCATCTCTACTACTCTAACTTTATGCTCTTGTTGTTACATTAAAGCCTAACATTCATTACCATATAACATTACTGGTCTTATAGCAGTTTGATAAAAACTTTCCTTTAAATTTATTAGGTACCTTACGATCGCAAATAACTCATTTAGCTTTTCTTCCATTAAATCACATAGCTTGTATCTTATGTGCAATATCTCCATCAATTTTTTATTATGTTGAATAATCGCTTCTAAATATCTAAACTTTTTCACTTGAGATATAATTTGATCATCCAATTTCATCTCCAAATTACTACTCATTGACCTTGTAACATCCTGATTTTTATATAATAAAAAAATTGTGGAATTTAGGTTTTGAGAAAAAAATGATAATAATAGGAATTTATATTATTTGAGGTTATTTAGAAATAATATTATGGTTAGGTATTTAATTATAAATTTAAAAATTTAAATTTAAAACCACATAAGTAATATTTAGTTAAGATATAATACATAAATAATTTTTTTATGTGTGTGTTAAAAAAAAGAAGGTAGAAGGAACAAAAAAAGGGGGGGTGGAAGGTTGTTGTTTCTAAGTCT